AAGCTGTTAATCTCTTCTTGGTTTAGTTTTGGTGGTTCCCATGCCTTTAGATATCCATCCATTTCTTTTAGGTTTTCAAATTTAGTATCATATAGGTTTTTAAAGCATTCCCTTATAATGTTTTGTATCTTTCTGGTGTCTGTTGTGATGTTTCCTGTGGGAAGCGAGCGCGGCCAAGTCAGCCAAAGATGGCACCTTGGCTGGCTGCCAAGCCTCGTGACTCCAACCCTTGGCTGGCTGCCAAGCCTCGTGACTCTTGCTTGTTTACTCCAACTCGCACAAGCTTGAGGAGCCCGATCATGTGCTGCCTGCCTGATCAGAGACATCATCAAGCATGACCCTGCTACGTGGCCCAATGAGCTGCCACTCTGCCTGCCTGCTGTGTGTGTGTGTGTGCCCTGATTGGTCCTGGCTGGGAGGAGGGCTGTTGGGAACAAACTATATAAGGACTGAAGTGAGTAATAAAGAAGAAGAAGCCTGAACCTCACCTTGGTGTCTGTGTCGTCTTTCCTCGGCTCTGCTGGATGGAGTCGTGGCTTGCGGCAGTTTCCCCTTTCATCTCTGATTTTGTTGATTTGGAGGTACTCTTTCTTTCTTTCGGTTAACTGGGCTAGTGGTCTGTTGATCTTGTTTATCTTTTCAAAAAACCAGCTCTTGGAGTTGTTGATTCTTTATATTGTTTTCTTTGTTTCAATTTCATTAATTTCTGCCCTGATTTTTGTTATTTCTTCTTGTCTGCTGGGTTTGGGTTTCGTTTGCTGTTGCTTTTCAAGTGTGTTGAGTTGCAGTGTTAAGTCATTTATTTGTGTTCTTTCCGATTTTTTGATGTAGGCACTTAGAGCTATAAACTTCCCTCTAAGAACGGCTTTCAGCATGTCCCAGAGGTTTTGTCATGTTGTTTTGTCCTTTTCATTTAACTCCAGGAATTCTTTTTATTTCTTTCTTAATTTCTCTTTTGACCCATTCATCATTCAGGAGTGTGTTGTTTAATCTCCATGTGTTCATGTGGTGGTTAGGGCTTCTTCAGGTGTTGATTGTAAGCTTTATTGCACTGTGTCTGATAGAATGCATGGAATTATTTCAGTCTTTTTGTATTTGTTGAGGTTTGTTTTGTGCCCCAGTATATGGTCGATTTTGGAGAAGGTTCCATGGAGTGCTGAGTAGAAAGTATGTCCTTTGGTGCTTGGGTGGAATACTCGGTAGATATCTGTTAAGTCCATTTGATATATGGTATTGTTTAATTCAGATGTCTCTCTGTTAACTTTCTGCCCTGTTGACCTATCTAATGGAGACAGTGGGGTATTGGAGTCACCTACTATTAATGAATTGGTGTTAATCTGGGTCTTAAAGTCTCGTAGTATGTTTTTATGAAGTTGGGTGCAGCAGAGTTTGGTGAATATATGTTCATGATTGTAATATCTTCTTAATTCATTGTTCCTTTGATCAGAATGAACTGGCCCTCTTTGTCTTTCTGATTAGTTTTAGTTTAAATCTATTTTGTCAGATATTAGAATTGCTATGCCTGCTTTTTTCTTAGTGCTATTTGCTTGGTTATTTTTTTTCCATCCTTTCACTTTGAGATAGTGTCTGTCCTTAAAATTGAGATGAGTTTCTTGCAGAGAACAAAAAGATGGGTTTTATTTCTTAATCCATTCACATAGTCTGTGCCTTTTGACTTGGGAGTTCAGTCCATTAATATTTAAAGTTATTAATTAAAGGTGGATATTGAATGCTGTCATTTTTATTTCTGTTTACATTCTTGATATAGCTGTACTTCTCCACAGTTATACCTTCATTGGATTTCTTTCTGCAACCCCTTGGGTATAGTCATTCCTTTCTTCAGCTCTTTGTATTGCTTCCAGAA